ACACTAGGTCCACTAGAGGCTTCCAGAAGTAATTCCAGAAGTAGTCGGCAAGTTTTATATTTACCTTTTTCTTTTCTTACTACAGGCATTATCTTGGAGATAGTGCACGTTCGGTTTCCAACCCACTGCAATCAAGCGAGTATCGCAAAAAAGGGAACCACGCGATTTTTTTCAGTTTCCCAGTGCATAGAAGAGTAATGTTTCCACTATAATGTAGCCTACTAAGTGTGCAATAAAATAGCATTATGTCTAAAAAACAATGTACATCCCTTAATTAAAAATACTTTATTGCTAAAAACATGCTGATCATCATGTGACCACACAGGGTTGCCACAAACCTTCAATTTGTAAAAAAAAAAACACGCAATGAAATGAGGTATGCCTGTATTCTAGTTTTCACATACTGCCCAGATGTTTTGTCAAAGCCATTTCCCTACTACACATAACGAGTATTTTTTGCCAGGTACCATGTCGCATTCTACTCGAGGGACACAATCGACTGCACCCGACAACTTTTCCCATCTTTGCTACCACCGGGCTGTGTGAGCAGGGCCCTGTTATTCCGTCTTACAACTGAGTGTTTAGGAATATCCCATGTCATACAAGCAGTAGCGTCCAGGGCAGGTGAACTCCGATTCTTAAGGCTTACCACCTCACTTTGGGTGCGCAGGCCCCAGCCAGGCCCCCGGGAAGCTCCGAATGCTTTGGAATCTCCCTGCCTGACTCCAGCCAGGGAAAGGCACCCCCCCCCCCCCCCCACCCCGCCCCGCAAACCCACAGGTCGCTGGAAATACTGAGTTGCAGGCGCTTCATCCCACATTCCAGCCACACTGGTCCCAACCCCCTGTACTGGGAGAAGCTGTAGAAGGTCCCAGAAGCCAGGGAGACCACAGAGCAGGCTTCTCTCCCAGGGGACGCAAATCAGGCAGGCGGTCTTCCCCCCACCAGTTAACCCTTGACCTGCCTGATTACACAGCTATGGGGCAAAGGGGGACAGAGGAACTCCTTCTCCCTGACCCCCAGCACTAGTTTTCTCTATACACGCACATTTCATTCTTAACAGCTGCAAATAACAGTTCCAATCCACTCTTACTTTTCCCCAGGCCTCTGGTTTTGCCTAAATGAATGACAGTCCAATTGATCACTAACCTCATTAGGGCAAGTTAGAGAAAACAGCCTCAGGAAAAGCACCGTTGGGCAGTTCATGAGCAGCAGGGCCGTCCATAAGGACACACTTATCAATCTGTCCCTCTGTCTACTGCCTAGCAATTACATCCTCACGCAGCTGTCACTTAGGAGGCTGTGTGCGCGCGCGCGCGCACACACACACACACACACACACACACACGCCCAGGGGACCAGCAGAGAACTGGGCAAAGGGCAGTGTCCTACCAAAAAGGCCATGGGGCTCCGACTGCCGCCGCGCGGTGCTTCGGTTTGGGTCCTTGTGTTTCTTGTTCCCCCTGAGGCTGCCGAACCGCTTCATGAGGATCTGTGGCCACAGGAGCGGGGACAGGTGAGCATGCCAGGACGCGCTGGAGCAGCGTCAGCCTCAGGTGGCCAGGGGCCAGGAGAGGCACTGCATCAGCCGGCAGGTGTGGGCCCCGAGAGCTCAGAGATGCTGCGCGCGCTCAAGCCCCAGCCCGGGAGGCCAGGTGTCCTGGCCAGGGTCTCCAGCAAACGCAGGAGGGGCCACCCTCGGGGCCAGCAGCCGTGGGACAGGCCAGGCGGTCCCAACGCAGGGCTTCCTCCCCGAGAGACACTCGGCTGTCTTCACCTCTGCACCTCCAGCCCCGCAGCCAGAGCGGCTGCTGCCCTTAAGTAGGCAAGAAGCTCCTGGAAGCACACGCAGGGCCTCGCCGTGGGTCTGTTTATGTCATTAAGGTCTGCCACGCACTCAGACGCTCAGGGCTTTTTCCTCCTTAAAATTAAAAAGGGGGGGAAGACGAAATAGGCGAAAGGAGGGCAGGCCTGCCGGTCATGTGCAGGTCTGCAGATGTCTCTTTAAAAAGACTGTAAAAGGAAACTACCCCGTCCAGACAATTCTTGGCACCAATTGGCCAGAGCACATTCCCATCATGACATGACATCACACAACTATTTTGATTCATGTGTTCCAGGGCTCCCCAGGGTCAGCAGGCTCCGGCTGCTTCTTGCTGGAGAAGCCACAGGTCCCTGGGCTGGAAATCGCTGGATCTACTTCAGCTCGTGGCTCCTTGAGTTGAAAGACGCAAGACCACCTTTAAGGAGGGGACATGGGGTCCCCTGGAGTTCAACGGGAGGATCTTGAGCCCTCGACTTGCTAAGAATTGCAGAATGACAGAACCCAAAGAGATTTTAGAGGGGATCAAATCCAACCCCCTTTCCGTGACAGATGGGGAAACTGAGGCTCAGGAAGGGGGTGTGACTTGCCCAAAGTCTTGTAACTAGTGGCCGAACCAGGACTAGAATTCTAACCTCCTTGAATCCTAAGCCAAACCCCTGATCTAATAAAACAAAAACCTTCTAGTATGTATGTGTTTTGCAACTAAAAACAAAACTTAAAAAAAAAAAAACATACGGGAAAAAATTTTCAATTTCTTTTGCTGATATCTTCACTAGACTAAAGGGAAGTTACGGAAATCCGCCCCTAATTACCTTTGTGACCTTGAGAAAGCTACTCCTTGTCTCCGACCCCAGTTTCCCCTCTCAACCAAGACGAGACCTGCTCGGATTAGGATTTTGTCTCCTTCCAGAAGTCTGAACGCCTAATGGCCGTTTGCCATGACTTTTCTTTCTGCTGGGACTGATGGAGATCCAGTGATCAAATCCTTGTAGGCAGGATGCATGAACAAACAAAGGAAATGTGTCATGCCCTCAAGGGATTTGAAAACGACTTGGAAAGACAAAGATAAACTGCTCTACTAATAACTACATAAAATAGCGATATGTGATCAATGGCCAGTGGCCAGCATGGACAAGCATCACCAGCACAGGTGGACGGAGAGGCAATCGCATGGCCCTGCTTGGAAAGGAGAGCTTGAGTTGGCCTTGAGCGTTGGCAGGTCCAGAGAAAAGGAGAGGCCAGGCCACCACTGAGCCTGTGGATGAACCCAGTTTCCCAAAACAAGTCACAAAACCCACCTCCACTTGGGTCCTCCAGTATACTAGTGGATTACATCTGTGTGAAAAGTGGTAGCCCAGGAACTTCCCTGGGGGGCGCAGTGGATAAGACTCCGCGCTCCCAAGGCAGGGGGCCCGGGTTCGATCCCTGATCGGGGGAACTAGATCCCACGTGCACGCCGCAACTAAGAGTTCACATGCCACGACGAAGGAGCCGGCATATCGCAACTAAGGCCTGGTGCAACCAAAAAAAAAAAAAAAAAAAAAAAAAGGTAGCCCAAATTTACTGTGATTAAGCTCTGAAAAAGTCTAAGAAGGTAGGTGTTGGAGTTTCATATTTAGAATTCCTCTTTTTAAAAAATCAGTTCAGCTCTTAACAGAAATGGAAATATTCTCCTGATTTAAAAATAAAATAAAACAAAGCAGAACTTCCTTAGGAAAAATCGCGAAACAAGGATTCCAGTAAGAAAGGACCATGTTCGATTAAAAGGAAAATGAAAGGCTTTGTCTAAGCCGACGCAAGATTCTTGGACTTTATGATAAAGTAGGTAGAAAGGATAACATTTCAAAGTCTAGCGACTAAAAGAGAATGGGAAATAAACAGCAACTTGGGCATGTCTGATGGTGCTGTACATAGTTTATACGGCTGTTCACTCATCAAGTACTTATTAAACCTCTACCAAATGTGCAGGACAGTTGTTGATGGAGGGGATTAGTGCTATGAATAATTCAAAGACATTCTTGTCCTCTAAGAACTACATTGTAATTAGGAAAATAATAGATCCCATTTGTGTTGTGCCTACCATATGCCAGGTGAAGTGCTGGTCACCTCACAATTATGATTTTATTTCATCCTTCCCACAAACCTGGGGGGCAGGTATTATTAACACCATTTTATTTAAAGTTGAATAACTCCCTGCGGGGCTGGAGTTCACTGCCGCTGCCCAGCTGTGGGCTCCATACGCTAAGGATTCATTCAACAGGAACATTCAGTGCCTTCGTAGAGGGGAGTAAGGACATGGCAGCTCAGGCAGGGTGAAGAAAAGAACTACCTAGGTCATTTGGGGTCACTGTTCTGCTACTGAAATGGTAACAGGATATTCTGAAAAGACACGGTGGAGGTGGCCTGATGGAGCAAAACGTCGTTTTGGGCGCAGAGCAGTTCTCTGTCCCACAGGGTGGATCCTGGGAAGATCTGGATGGAAGGAGGTGAGGTTAAGTGCAGCTCTAAGACAAGCTACGAGACGACATGATGACCTTAACAGTGGACACAAGGCTCCAAAGAGACACCGACGTGTGCTTCTGACCTCACTCAAAATGTTCTTCCCGGGGTCAGCTTCACCCAAGAGCAGAGAAAAAGGCTGTAGGTGACAGTGGGCTTCAGGAGTGGAGACGCAGCTGCGTGCGGGAAATCCTGAACGGGTGTCCCGCCGGGGGGTGGGGCAGGGAGAGGTAGGGCTGATTCGTAGGGTCTGCCGCTTTCTGCGGTGCAGACACTCCAAGCTTGGTCCACTTCAGGGCACCAACATGGCACAGACGGGCTTGCCAAATTCCCAGGCATTTTACAATCGGCCCTCTTACCACTGGGTCTCTCTGTTCGATTCACACATGCCTGAAATTCCTTAACTTGGGACAACGCCTTTGCACCACTGAGATGCGTGCAGGTGCACGGGGCAAGGCGACACTCATGTTGCAGGTTGAGTGACCGAGGACACTTCCTTTAGCGCGTCTGACCAACGGGCCGGGGGCAGTGGCCGCTCTCAGGAGGACTAACCACCCCTTCTTCGCGGCTTCTACCAGCTGATGGTCCCGAATGAACAAGAGGTGAAACTCCTTCACGCAACTATGATTCAGCTGGCAGGAACACGTCCTCATGGAATGCTTTCCACACTTGGGGATTTTTTTTTTTTTTTTTTTAAGGGAAGAGCTGAAAAAGAAGGAACTAGTGGCTTCCAAGATGGAACGGTGTTTTAAAATGTATTTCTGGAGCCTACTTTACAGGTCACTCTCTTGGTGGCTGCTACACCCGGAAGCCTGGGATAGGTAGTGGGGGCAGCAGAAGCCTTTATGTTTTAAGCACTTTTCCCCAGGCTGAGGGAACAAGGCTCCCCAGATCGCTGCCTCGACACTAGGTCTGCAGGATCTGGGGAGGGGCGGAATTTTAGGGAACTCCAATTGCATTTCGTTTTTGTTCTTCTTCTGGGTTTTCAACTATAAGACCACCCTGGAGAACTCGAAAAATGAAATGGTGTTGAAGAATACTCCCTGGAGACACTGCATGCTGTGAGCTTGTTTCATTTTGTGTTTCTTTTCTCCCCAGCCAGACGGAAAGCTCCCTGACAGCGGGGATCTGACCTGATGGGAGAAACACAATCAGTACTTCCTGAACGACTCCTTAGAGGTGGCTCACAAGCAGGCAGGTAGGCCAGACGTGGGCTGTGCTCCGCGCTCTCTGGTTACCTTGGGGGCAGTGTATCCTGTCCCTGACCGTCCAGGAGCCCAGGGAGGCTGTGCTAATGGCTCCCCTGCCCTCCATCAGCCAAAGCTTTGCACTGACCCTAAGGGGTATCTTCTGGGCTCAGGCCCTCAGCATGACGATGGGGAATGGGCCCAGGTACCCGATCTTTCGGATTTTACCAGGTGTGTTGGCCTCTGCACATCTGGATACTACATCCTGGTCAAGAGCCAGGTGTGGAGGTGACTGTCTATGAGATGGGCCTGCCGGGGGTGCGCGAGGGGGGGGAAGCAGGGGTGCTGAGGGGGCTGCAGACAGGTGTCCGCTCACCGCTGCTTCAGATGCAAGAACGGAACGGCCCACTCCCTCCGCGTGGCGTGCTGCACTTCTCCCGGAGGCCCCGGTGACCCCAGGTGCGGGTAAACCAGTTCAACCGTTGGCAGCTGTCGGCTGGTGATCCGGAGGCCTGTTCTCACAGCACGGGGTGGGGGACAGGCACTGAGCCGGGAGGCTATCGCTGGCTTCCTGCTAGACCCCCGGACTTGTCATCTGTCCGTGCGGACACCACAGTTGATGCCCAGCATCTGTTGGTCCCTCCACCCGCCCCGTCCCCAGCATGTGCAGCAGGAGGCCCTGATGGCTGAGGACCCAGGGGCCGTGGAGACAGGCCCACTGTCCTCCCATCAGAAGCCCAGGCTGGGCGGCCCACGGAACACCCCAAGGAGCAATCGTCCTTGAAGTCCACCCCGCCTCTGGATTTCCAGTTTTCATATAATAATAAAAGTAATAGTAATGAAAAAATTTAAAGGCCCAAACCTCCCTTGTCACGGAAGCCTCTCTGAGTGCTAGGTTATGCGCTGCTGCAAAGAATCTCACCAAGATGGTGACCAGAGGCCTGGATGAGAGAGAAGCGGCTGAGACCCAGTGCAGACCTTCCCCACTTCTCACCCCCGGCTCCAGACACACCCCTCAACTGCGCCCCAGCGTCCAGGGCTGCGTCCAGGAGGGTGCATCCCGGTGGAGACCAGGGCCTTCCGTGTGTACTGAGTTTCCAGGCTCTTCCCAAAGCACTTTCCTTGGTTCATCTCAACCAGGCTGTGAGGTAGGGAGGCCAGCCCTCACTATTCAGTTTAAGAAACAAAAGCAACGGAGGTTCAGAGAAGCAAAACGATTTGCCCAAGATCCCCCGGGAGCCAGTGGCGGGGCTGCACTGGCAGCCCGGGTCGCCGGTCCCCCATCCAGTGGCATTTAGGACCCCAGGCTGCCTCTTCTGGGTTGGGATGTTTGAAAAGGAAATGAAGACACATCCACTGCAAATGCACTCAGTCACCTTTACAGATCACGTGACGGTACCTGAAAAGCACCAGACCCCTGAAAGGCCGCGAGCCAAACAAAACCCCATTACGTAAGAGGCCTGGGGGGGCGGTGCTCAGAGCAGAGGGGGGCTGCGCGCCCGCTAGCGCATTTGCTGGTGCTCTCCTGCTGGTTGCAAAATACCGTGTTGGATTTCATGGAAAGTTCTAAAGGTCACCGTGGCACTTGACTCTGAGTGAGATCATGTGTCACCTCCTTGGGGCTTCCTTTCCTCTTCCCCAGAGCTGTTTATGAGGCCGTGGCTCCGAGGATGACAGTCCCCGACCGACTCAGGCACCCACGCCTTTCCTGCACACCAGCGGCCCCCTTCCAGGTCACGCACGCCTCCTGGCTCCCCCGGGAACTCCAGTGACAGGCGCTTTGAGTGACAAGAGGGTGATTTTTTTGGCAAAGATGAACCACCTCGGCTTGAAGAGTTCAACTCATACCAGTGACATCTAAACCCAGTGACAATAGGGGTATCTTAATTTTCAAAATACAGGAAAGTACAGAAAAAGCAAAAACCAATGGCAATAATTATTTCTAGCACGCCAAAGTGCAACACCCCAAAAGTATGGAATTCCCAGCTATCCTTGAAATCTTCAGGGGCATCACGTGCCCCATGGAAGGACCCAGTGGTAACCTCATTTAATCTCTTCTCGTGGGCCCTGCAGTCCCTGGGGTCTCTCGCCAGGCCAAGGGCTCTGAAGGTGCCAAAGGCAAGAGTTGATGAGATCTGCTCCCGACTCTAGCTTTCAGATGGCCCCAGGGGGAACCCCAGACTCAAGGCCACAGAGCAAGGGCTTTCAAACGCTAGATTCCAAAGGGTCTAGAGGCTGAGCGTCTGGCTTTTCTGTTTACTTCTCCCTCTAAGTCATGTCTTAGAAAGGCCAGAGGGCCGGAGGAATGTGCAAAACCCTTGGCAAGGGTGAAGACCCGTGAACTCACAGACTTGGCGGAAAGCCCGAGTGTGGTCCACTTGGGCCCCCATCTCCCGGGCAACCAAGCACCGTCTCCATTTTCTGGAATCCAGGGCTCCCAGGAGAACCCCAACTACTTTGGCATTTTCATCATTTGGAAGCCACCAGTTTAGAACCACCAGCCTGAGTTGAAATGGGCCTGTGATCTGCTCCTTTTGAATGGTGAAATATATTCTCCAACAAGGTGACGTCCTGAAAGGTTTAAAAGACTTGAGTCAGACATAGCACCTCAAAGCGATACAGGTTCAGGTACCGGCATGCGATTCTGAGCTATGTCGTTTATTCTTCCACATTTCTCCCATCGAAGAGATCATAACACAGCCTGAGCCCATTTTACAGAGGTTTTTGGGAATCAAACAAGATAAATTAGGAAAAATACCCTGTCAGCTGCAGAGCATCTTACACACAGACGGCATCATCGGGACCTTAAAGCAGCCCGGAGAGGGCCCCGTGCGCCTCAGAGGGCATCACCTGGAGAGCCCAGTTCTGAAGCTGCCTCCCCTCCCCCGGCGGCTGGGGCAGGGCTTTCTGCCTGGGCCCTGCATTGGGCAGAGGGCGGGGGCACTTGGACTTGAACTGGGAGGACCACGTGTTGGCAGCTCCTCTTCCAGGTCTCGACTGAGTCGGAGGTACTGGGACAGAGCCCTGCTCTTGAGCCCAAACACTCAAAGCCCAAGCACTGCATTTCTCGAATCAAGAGCCCAGGGACTTTCCTCCTAATCATTTACTCTTTTCAACCATACACACAAAGAACCCCGGCATCTTAGCAGCAAGTTTCGAGGGAGGAGAGCCGGGGTGCTATTCAAGGCAAAACACTGCTGCAGACCACGCAGCCGGTACATGGAAGGAGGCTCGCAGTAGGAGAGATCACTCCCAGGTCCTTCAGTCCCTAAGTCTGCAAACAATCTTCACATCTCAGCGGTGTCTGGATGCCCATCATAGGGCAATCTGGTAAGGACCCTAGATCATCTATAAGGAGTGAAATTATACTTAGTATCTCTTGAATAAGAAAACTGCAAAATGTCTGCCGCACCTAACACTTGAAAAGATGCATGTTTGGGTGCTTAAAGGCGTACGTTCCCGATATCTGGAAAGTTAACTTCTGTAGCCGGTTCATTTCCTGAGGCTGACGAAACATAACAAAGATATTCTATAATTCAGATCGTTTGCTAATTCAGATTGGCTTTACCCCAAATGCATCAGCTGTTACCATACTCACGGACATCACTCAAGCTCTGCTTAAGGCATCATTTGCTGTGGGGGCGACACTGTCCCTAAGAGGCTGAAAATTGGTTCCTGGGGGCGGGAGGGAACATCTTCTTTTTATATACATAAAGCACAGATACATACGGCACATAAATAGTATGTGGTATTTGTGTTTTATTAAAATTGTAAGGGGGTGATTAAAGGATGCCTAAAAAGACTCTGTAGGAGATGATCAAAAGAAAAGGCTGATTGATTTTTAAAAAAAAGGAGAGCGGAGGGAAATTGAGGAAGACGTGGGGAGTGAGTATTGTGATAAGACCACGTGCAAGGTTTGTCACTGACAACTTGTGCAATAGTTGAAGGGGTACATAATGTAAAGGAGCCCCTTTTGGGTTTCGGAGGAGTGGGGCAGGGACCTTTCAACACTGGATCATTTTGTATTGCTTGATTTTTTTTTTTAACCACATGATTGAACTACTTCACTGAAACCCAAATGTAAAAGGGAGAAAACGAAACACAAACAACAAAAACTCTAGTAAATGGTGATTAGTGTCTACAGCAGAAAAAAGTCAGCAAAGCACATTCTCAATTGCTAAACTGCTTTAGCAAATGCTTAAAAAAAAAAAAAAAAAAAGTCGAGGAACACTGTTGGAAGTAGCAGCCTCTCCCACGCCATCGGCTCTCATTTTATCCCAACCTTCCTTCAGGGACGATCTAAGAGAATTGGCTGATTCACCAATGTTCTAGAACCCAGCGTCCCGGCCTTTAGGCGACTTGGGGCTGGTCGAGGGTCCTCGGAGGGTCAGAGGGTGAGGAAGAGGGTGAAAGGTTCTCCTCATGGAGGGAGGCCCGTGAGCCAGAAAAGGAGGTCTTTCAGCCGTCGCCTCCGGAGAGAAATGCTGGAAAGAAACTAGACTCACTACAGCCAAGCAGGAGGACTTCCTGAGGGTCAGAAGATGAAACGCAGAAATGGATATTCCAGTATGGAGGTTCCTTAAAAAACTACAAATAGAACTACCATATGACCCAGCAATCCCACTGCTGGGCATATACCCTGATATAGTGCCCATCATCGGATGAATGGGTAAAGAAGATGTGGCACATATACACAATGGAATATTACTCAGCCATAAAAAGGAACGAAACTGAGTTATTTGTAGTGAGGTGGATGGACCTAGAGACTGTCAAACAGAGTGAAGTAAGTCAGAAAGAGAAAGACAAATACCGTGTGCTAACACATATATATGGAATTTAAGAAAAAAAAATGTCATGAAGAACCTAGGGGTAAGACAGGAATAAAGACACAGACCTACTAGAGAATGG